AAAGAACATGAACAACAATTATCGATGAAATTCGATAATGAAATAGTCAGTTTTCATGATCAACTTCTTGGTCAAATACTGAAGTTAGAAAAAGATAATTATATGTTATTAGATATTTTTGATCAAATTGAACAATGGAAAAAAACAACAATAAATAAAATAGAAAAAGCAGCAGAAAAAGCTCAATATCAACTTATCGAATTAATTGATAAACAAAGAATCAATGTAGTAAAACAACTTGAACCGATTACAAAAGAAATCCTTTGTCGTCGAGAAGAAGAAAATTTTCTTGAAAATGATATTGATCGACTTCGAAAAAAAATTGATGAAATACAACAAATACTTCAACCATTTATTCAAAAAGATACAAATAAAAGTATCATTGTTGATAGTGATCAAATTGATTGGGATCGACTCATCTACATTCGAACAGAACAACTACACTGTGAGTATATTGACCTAAAGATACAGAAGAAAAGAAACTCTTCAACAAAATCAATTAAACATTTTTTATTATTCAATCGAACTTTTTTTTCTTTTCATCAACTGATCTAAATGAATTCATTCATAGATTAGAGTTAGTTCGAGAGAGACATACAATCTTCAAGAAAAAATATTAAAATATTATTCGAAACTTATCGGTTTAACACAACTCGGCAGATTTTCATCTAAAATAAAACTCTGTTACTCTCTGAAATTTTATTTCCAATTTTTGTCAATGTTCAACTATCTTTTTGAGACTAAATACAAAAGAGAGTAGCAAGATCTTCCATTCGCAATGAGTTTCATCCGACAAATAAAAATATTTTCAAAAATCAATTCAATTTTCAGAGACAAATGAAAAGAGACTATCATTGTTTTTGAATACTCACATGATGAATAGTTGCAAATACTATCGAAAAAGAGTATTGAATGGGAGTGAAACGAAAAACATGATGGACTTGCTTTTTCAAAAGCCAATCACAGGAAAATCAAGCGAATCTTCAAAATATTCAAATGATTCATTCATTTGTATTTTTCCAATAAGAAATCGAACGAAATAAGAACAACGATCATTGAATCTAGTCTAAGATGTAATTCTTTTCAATTGTGAATTGCGTTTCATTCGTATTCAACAGAGAAGAAATCATGTTTGACATAATCTAAGGAAAAATCACAAGGTCATCTGAAACTTTTTGAATGTCTCTTAAGCTAAACTCGACAATAACATAACTTCCGAGTACGACTTTCAATAGTGGAATAAAAAAAGTCAGCTTTTTCTCTTTCAAAGATGGCAATAAGCTAAAGAAATAACAAGACAAAATAATGAAGAAATTTTCTCTGAAGATAAGATTGAGATAAGTGTTCGAAAATTACTAATCATGTTGAATATTCCAAAGCTTTTGTCGCATCTGTAAGATTCTAAAACAGCAGAGGATGTTGAAAATATTTTTTGTCAATTGTTTTCCTAGATTTCAAAAGTTTATCGGATTAATTCAATGAAGATGGAACCAGATGAAACTTCATCTAATTTTTTTTTTTAATATGTCGATCATATGTTCTTCAGAAAAACCAAATTCTGATTCCATCATTGGTATCCTATTAATAGTTCTCAACTCTCAATTTCATTTTCAAGAGTGTTAAATACATTCAATTATGGAACTTGTTTGAGAGATAAAGAGTTTTTCAATGATGATTAGATGAAAAGAAAATTCGAATATTAATTATCCGATTGAAGCTCTTGGGCTTTTCTCTATTCACAATATAGAAGTAACGAGATTACCTTTGAGACATTGTTCGATATGAAAAATCAGTACTACTGTTATAAAAATTGTATCTTGTTTTCAGCACCAGTTCTATCCAATGCAAATCTGAATCAAAATACAAAATGGATACAGAATGGTATCACTGTCGCTGGATTAAATGGACGCGGTACTGGAATGCATCAACTTTGCAATCCATGGGGTTCATATGTTGATGATGATCAAACTGTCTACATTGCTGACTGTTCTAATCATCGGATTGTCGAATGGAAGCGTGGAGTAGCAATTGGTCGAGTTGTAGCAGGTGGAAATGGAGCAGGAAACCGTCCTGATCAGTTGAACTGTCCAACAGATGTGATTATTGATAAAGAACAAGATACTCTTATCATTTGTGATTATGAAAATAAAAGAGTTGTTCGATGGCCTCGTCAAAATGGTAAAAGTGGAGAAACGATCATCTCAAATGTTGGATGTTGGGGATTGACAATGGACGATGATAGGTTTCTCTATATTGTTGATCATGATAGACATGAAGTTAGACAATATCGAATGGAAAAACGTCAAGAATCAGTCGTTGCAGGTGGAAAGGGACCAGGAAATCGTCTCAATCAGTTATATCAACCTACATACGTATTTGTCGATCGCGATCATTCAGTTTACGTATCAGATTCAAACAATAATCGTGTGATGAAGTGGATGAAAGGTGCGAAGCAAGGTATTATTGTAGCTGGTGGTCAAATTCAAGGAAATAGCCTTACACAATTATCAAATCCTTTTGGAATTGCCGTGGATCTCTTAGGTACTGTCTATGTGGCTGACAATGGAAATAATCGAATAATGCGATGGATTCAAGGAGCCATACTGGGAAGTGTCATCGCTGGTGGAAACGATCAAGGAAATCAATCGAATCAACTCTGTCACCCCACCGGTTTGTCATTTGATCGAGAGGGAAATCTTTACGGGAGTGATGAAGGCAATGATCGAATACAAAAGTTTAACATTGATCGAAATTGATGATTGTCAAAAATTGACATTGCTTTATCGTTTCCGTCATAGTTTTACACAAGTAATCAAGCAAATAAATCGTTTCAAATAAGATTATCTTGTATTGATTAATAGATGATCTTAAACTAACAGAAAAGAATCTTTTTAGGTCAAGTTCTATCAAAAAATTATGTTTTCATCATTAAAGAATCGATGATTTTTGAAGTTCTTCAGCGAAAAGAGATTAACATCAAGCACGAGTTAAATTTCGATGAATCAAACAGTAGAAAATCCTGATACACACTGAACAATAATCTAGCACTAGACGACAAATAAAAAAATTTGTTCTTATCTCATATCACAGTATTAAAATGGTCGATAAAAGAGAATTGTGTCATCTTA